CTGTTATAAGGATGGAGCGGAAAACACATGCTTGGGGACCACTGGGTGAGAGCACTGAAACAACAGAATGTTGCCACAAGAGAATGGAACATGGAAGTCCCAGTTTAGAGCGCGAGTAATTCCTAGTAACAGCAGGGTCAAAACAACGGGGGTGGGGAGTCCAGCTGAAGTGGGGTCATCAGATTTAGCCAGAGTGTTGAATGCAATGTCACATACACTGATGGCACGTTATCAATCAGACCTATCCATGTGGAAGCTGAAGTCATCCAGAGTGGGAGAATTAGGAGTGAAAAGAAAGGCAATGAGCCAGATGAGGAAGGTAGGGCAGGTGGTATTGTCCCTGCCAAGGTTTAGGGACATGAAGTTAAGTACCTGAGCTCATGTAGCTTATAAACTGTAAGGCAGAGTCAGGAATCAGATAAAGTTCTTCCAGCTTCAAGTTCAGAGTTACTTCAACTTACAGCGCTCTCTCTGAGAGCAGCTTTCTGCAGAACAAAACACGATTGAGGCAAATGTTAAAGATGGGGAAGAGGAAGCGTGACAGGGGTTAAGCATCAGTGAGGCCACCCTGGAGGGTGGGCAGTGGGGGATGGCTGGACCACGGGATGGCGAGGCACATGGTAAAGTCATCTCAGCTGCCACGGCCTACTCTTCAGAGTTGCAGGAGCCCTCTCACGATCTTGGCAAGTAGCTGGTCACATTCAGGTATAGTCCATGAGTTGTGTGCGTAACAGAGAGTGTTTTGGGCAGAGAGGCATAGGATGGCTGAGGCTGCAAACAGGATAATCAGATGCTAAAAGGTAACTCAGGGATCAGTGCCCAAAAGTGGAAATGGAGAGATTTTGTGGCATGCTATGCCATTTAATATTTGTCCTTTATCGGCTATAGGCTATATATTTTCTTCTCTTAGTAATTAGTTTGGTAGGACTGCCATAACAGAGTACCGCAGGCTGGGTGGCTTAAACAACAGAAATTCACGTTCCCACAACTCTGGAGGTGGGAGAGCAAGATCAAGATGTTGGTAAGGTCACTTCTTTCTGAGGGCTCTCTCCTTAGCTTGGAGACGGCCATCTTCTTCCTATACCTTCACATGGTCTTTCTTCTGGTCTTTGTCTTTGTCTTAATCTTCTTTTCTTATGAGGACACCATTTGTTTTGGAATAGGCCCACCCTAATGACCGCATTTTAACTTAATTACCTCTTTAAAGGCCCTGTCTTCAAGTATGGTCACACTCTGAGGGACCAGGGGTTAAAATTTCATCATGAATTTTGGGAAGGCATAATTTAGCCTATAGTAAGTGAAAATTTGAAAACATTGCACGTAAAGAAGTTAGTAACACTGATTGGCTCCACAGCAGGAGAGGTAGCCTGGGAAGTCAGAAGAAGAGTTGTTGGTCATCGTGCAATTTTCTGTATTACAGTGTTTGAATTTTGTTACTACAGATATTTAATACCTAGTCAAAAATAGAATGACTGCATGTCTATTGCACTTAAACATTTAGTGAATACAATGAGCAGAAACGCAGTGTGACCGTTCGCTGAACCTGTGGAATTGGGATCTGAGCGCCCCAATCAGTGCAGGAATGGGGCCTGCCTCGCTGTTCCTTGTGTAACTCGCTTTGAGTAAACTCGTCTCCCCGCTCCGTGGACTGTGGACTCCGCCGGACTCCGCCGGGCTTGGAAAAGGACACCGTCACTGTTTTACCCCCAGGTTCTCGCACAGAGTTGGCACTCAAATACCTGTTGTAGGAATGAACATACCCATGCTTCCGAGGAACAGAGCAGGTTTGGGGAATGAGCCCTTTCTGATCTGTGTTCTTGCTACAGAAAGTGGCAGGAAGGGTGGTGCAGGGCGGGGAGTTCTATGTTTTGAGTAATTTAGTAAACTTAATTATAACAAAAGATTCAAGGGGGAACCACTTAGTCTAATTTGCCTTCTTCTGTGTCTTTTGGAAAAGACACAGAAGAGAAGGATTCTGCCTCTTTGGGGCTGTTTTTAAATAATCTAAAGTCTCTTGACACCATTGCTACTCTTTATTTTGAAAAGAGAGGTAGTTATGAGGCAATGACATGCACCCTAAATGGATTTCTTTCACAAATCCATCAACCCCAATTCCCTTTCTGTCTCTTAGTTTAACTCCAGTGCCCACCTTCTACCCTATTGCTGCCTCTCACCTTTTGTTGATTTAGGCCTGGGGTTTTCAGGAAAAGACTCAGCCTTTCTGGTTCTCCCCAGAAAGCACAAGGCTCCCTTCTGAGAGCCTGTAAGAGAGGCTGAACAGGTGGCTCTGCACTGTCCTCTTACAGGCACTCTGGGAGCTCCACCTGGTCCTGAAGACATCTTAGCGCTTTGGAAAACCGGATTGGGTTGAAATGAGAGCGTTCAGGTCATGCTGTGCATGAGGTGTAAATGGGAATGAGTGAGTGAATGATGAGATCTGGCTCTCGAATGCAGGCACGAGGTTGTCCCGCAAGGAGGACTGAGCAGATTGGGCACAGGTAAGTACCAGCCTGCCTTCTGCTGTGGCCTCTGCTACTGAGAACACCAGCAGTTTGTGGAGTTCTCTCCTCACATCAGCTTCCTGCTGTGTCTGGGGGCCTCTCCAGACCCACCTCCATTTGACTTCTTCCAAACTGGGGTGGGTGGCACTAGATGCCTGTATCACTTGAAGATCCACACAGGCAGCATATTTTTGCTAAAAGCTGCAAAATGTCCTTAAGAGTAAGCTATAAAGTTCCTCATTCTTAGCTCTCAAGTTGATGAAAGGGTGAGAGGTGAATATCATCTGCCTTGGTGTGACAGACAGGGGCCAAAGACAGGCGTGTGCACCATAGTTCCCATCACAGAGGCTGGGCTTTGCTAGGTTAATCGGTCAGGATATTTGCACATTTTCTCAACAGGAATGACAAAACAGCAAAAGGAAATTCTCCAGTCCTCTTTAAATGACATTTATAAACACCGAAATTAGGATCAGAAAAAGGGGAGTTTAGGACTAAAGAAAGTTAAAAACGGATAACTGACACCCCACAACTAATATAACAAAGTTACAAAATGTACAAAACCACTAGGCTATACAACTTGTTTGAGGCCACGCACTGAGTGCTTATCATTTTGTATCATCTTCTAGTATCTAGGAGGACTGACCCACAAACTGAGTCTTCTACAAATTTTAATTCAGCAGAATTATTTTAATTGTATCCCATGTTTAGAGCCGAGCGACCTGAGACCCTGTGTGGAATCTCTGTGATAGTCTTCAGTTTGGGGCAATGCAAGGTCCTGTGATAGATGGCGATGGAACTTCAGGCATTAAAGTAAAGTTTAAAAGGAATCAGGAAACGTGTCCTAGTTCGCTTCTGTAGTGTATTTACAATTAGAAAAGAGTGTCCAGCTCTGAAAAGTCTATTGCATTCGCTAGCTGAGGGAATTAAGAAATCAAAGAGCAGACAATTAGAAAAACACCTGTAAAGAAATGGCAAATACTAATGCTCATTTAGGGTGGATTTACTGTATCTTAACTAATGGTAATCAATGGTATTTGGTACAAGTAAAATATATTTCTCCTGATAGAATTCTGAAAAAAAAATGATGGTCCATTTAAAAATAGTTCATCATTTCAAGTAAAGGGACATATTTGAGGCCTTATCTCACAGAATCGGGGATGACTATTAAAAATAACACGAGTCTGAAAAAGATTCCAGTGGAATTAAATCTTCGTAAAAAGAAAGCTTAATCAGTAGTCAAAACTGGGGTGGGAGGAAGGATGATCCAGGATGAGGTGTGTGACAAAAACCAAGGACTATGGTGATTAAACTAAAAGGGCAGAAACATAAGCAAGTATTAGCTCAATTCCCAATGGAAATACTGTTGAAATGGTGGGGAGGGTTGACTGGGCAAAATTCTGGCGTTTCAGTTCATGGATATGTTCTTTCTCGTATCTTAGCCTGCTCTACAGTGTTTCTGAAAGACAGTCATCTAACTAGTTTTCCCTTATTTGTCCTGGCCATCAATTACTGGAGAATAAGGAAGATGATGTGGATTCTGGAAAGTAAAGAATTGATCAGCCAGCTTCATGCCTGAAGCTATCAAGCCTGGTGCTTAGAATCCACGTTCTCAAGTCTGGCTCTTTGTTTAGACAAAGAAAAAAAAAGTCAGTGGGGAGGCTTGAGAGAGACATTTCCCCACCCCCAGTGAAGACTGAGGACCTGTCAGTCTATTACTTAGTATCTTGTTGAGAAATTGGTGAACAACTGAAAGAGTTTATCTGATGACTGACCAGGTGTGAATTTAGCACTGAGTATTTGATTCTTAGAGTGTGGGGATTAACTTGAAAGTTGTGTGTTTCCCTTCACTCTGTTTCCACACAAAGTCAACGATCTCAGCCACGTCTAAGAGGGAGAGTCCTCTGCTCGGCAGAGGATGCATCTTTCTCTGTCTTCTTTTCCCTTCCCTACACTTTTGATATTCTTCTTCAGTTGCTTGTTGGTGTATTGTGGGTGTGCGTGTGTGCATTTAGAACCTAAAGGACTGGATTTTTCCCAAATGTATGCCTTTGATTTTTATCTGGCATACTTCTCTATTAAAAACATGTTTTGTCTATTTGATCCCAGCACAAAGCAGATGCGCTGCAAATGTTAGCTGACTCTGGTCTTTCTAATAACAGTGATGGGAAATCCGGGCAAAGAATGTGTTGTTTTTGCAAATACTGCTCTTCAAATCTCAAGTGATAAAAGAGTCAGCTAATGACCCCCTGGGTCCCAGGCTTTCACTGGAGTCTTCTAAAATACACAAAACCGAAGTAAAGTCAGGACTCCATTAGCACTACATAATCCAAGCAAACAAATGTATTTACACTGCCTGACTACTGACCACCTGCCTTCCCATCCCACAAGACAGGTATCTATATATGGAATCTGATCTTCTTGTTCACAGTCCTGGGGGGAGAGAGCCTCTCCTTTGGGCCTCACCATCTGTGAATCTGAAGGAAGCTGGGCCCTGACAACATGACTCTCCTCTTACTTCAGCTGCTGGTGCTCTTGCCTCTGGGGAAGGCTGCAGGGCACCCAGGTGGCCTCCAGAGTCAGCGTTCTGTTTCCCTCATGCTCCTAGAAAGAAATCGCAGGGAGCTTCCCATGGGCAACCCGGAGGAGGCTGAGGAGAAGCCGGACCTGTTTGTTGCGGTGCCGCACCTGATAGGTGCCAGCCCTGCGGCAGGAGGCCAGGGGCACAGAGAGAAGATGCTGTTCAGGTTTGGCAGGCTCTGGAAGAAGCCTGAGAGAGAGCTGCACCCAACCCAGGACCCGGTCAGTGAGCACTTTTCACTTGGGACCCCAACCCTCACTCAGTCAGAGGATAGGATGCAGACAAAGAAGTCTCCTCTTCAGGAAGAAGCCAAGAAATTCTGGTACCACTTCATGTTCAGAATGAGTCCGGCTTCTCAGGGGGTCATCTTGCCTATCAAAAGCCACGAGGTGCATGAGGAGACCTGTAGGACAGTGCCTTTCAGCCAGGTATCTATTCCGGGTGAGAGGGGATCGGGGTTTGCAGGCAGGGGGTAGACATCTGGGACAGGTGTCCCAGAGGGGAAGAGGCTGCCAGGAGCCCAAGTCTTGCCTAACTCCCAGACTTGGTGCTTGGCCATTCATCATAGGGTTTGGCAAAGTATGATCATACTTCCTAAATTTCCTTCTGAACTTTCCATTATTGCTTGCTACTCTGGAAATGCTGCAGGGATAGTATAATTGATAGTATAATTAGTAATCATTTATGCTGATGGCACAGAGCTTTGTTTTATGTGATTTTATTTATTTATTTTTACAAGGGCGGGGTCAGGGGGTTATGCAGCGAGATAGACTTATCCTCAGTTACAGAACTGGTAATTTAGACCTATTAGCAGAACTCTCTCTAGCTGGATCTCTTTTAGGATGTGGATGGGCAGGTCCACTCGATTCGTAGCTAAGGAGGGATACACTGGACTCCCCCCATTCTTATGCCTGTGTATGATGGTCTTAATGCCTGTATTTCACTAACAGGGGTTCACTATGCAGTAAACACTGCATAGGTCTACAAAGTATGTTGAGGTTGTCAGGCATAAGTTACAATATTTTTAGCATTACCAGAGCAAGGTTGATTTAATTTATTTTTCCATAAGCTTTTAAAAAATAATCTTGATGTAAAATCACATTTTCTCCCCTTAATAACAATGATCTCCTGATTCATGTTGTGTTGGTTGATTTGTGGTTGACACAATTGATTCCACACTATTAAGACAAAGGGGCATTCTACCATCTATTTCCTACAGCCAGTCCTGGCAACCCCCATATTCCAAATGTTAAATTTAAATGGACAAAATTGCATCAGGTCCTTAAGCCTGAAGATACTGAAACAAAAGCAATGCTAGGTAAAGTAAAATTTTACAGTCCAGTAATGCTACCCCATTGGGCAGGTGGTATTATAAGGCAGTTGGGTATGCAAGGCCATTAACTATTCTGCCTAAAAAGGCAAAGATGTGTAGCAATAGCAAGTAAACTACTAATTAATAATGACTGCTTTGTTGGCCCCGTGCAGTTAGAAACTTGCTCCTAAGAATTGTGTAATTAAATTTCCTTTGAAACTTATATTTTGAATTCTACTGCTAATTAAATTGAAACTAAGATGTTTGGCTTGCATATTTTGAAGGCCACATAAAGCTAGGGGCACGGGTTATGGGCGAGGCACAGGCAGTGTCATGCATGGTGATTGCGGGCATGTGTGCTGCAACTTTGCTCCCAGCAACCTCATAGATTTAAATGTACTACAGGCCCTGCAAAGTAGAATAGCATTAAACTCATTGTATTCCGATCTATTCTATGAGAGATTGAACAAACATGTATTGAGAATCTATTATGCACAATGCTCTGTGAGGAATAGAAAGGTAAGGCGCATTACTTTCATAAGAAGCTAGCCCTTAGATTTTTTTCGATTGATAATATCCCATTAGACAAAATTTCTTAAAGTTTGGTAATTAAAAAACAAAAACTAGAGTAAAATATTTTCATATTAATTTAGGGATTTCTTAAAGACTAACTTACTAATTTACTCAGTAGAAGAAATATTTAGTTGAGGTGGCATTTTGCCCTTATAGATAGCATTACTTGAATATTGCAAAACATCCATAATTGGAAAGGTTTTGAAACTTTAGTCTAAATTATCCTCAGCCTTATAGTCTATAGCTTCTGTATCGTGTGTGTTAATGGAATGAAACAAGATAACTTAATAGAGATATGTTTGCCTTTTAGTCTATCACCCATGAAGACTGTGAGGAAGTAGTTGTACAGAACAACCTTTGCTTTGGGAAATGTGGGTCTGTTCATGTTCCTGGAGCTACACAGCACCCCCACTTCTGCTTCCACTGCTCACCTGCCAAGTTCACCACAATGCACTTGCAGCTGAACTGCTCAGACCTTGCCCGCGTGATCAAGGTGGTGATGCTAGTAGAGAAGTGCCAGTGCAAGGTGAAGACGGATCACCACGAGCATGGACACCTCCTGCAGGCAGGCTCCCAGGCAGAATTTCATGCCCATGATCCCTTTATCCCGGGATTTTCAACTTGAAAAGCTATCCCATTATTACCTTGAAAAGTAGAACCACAATTGCAAAGTTACTGATTATTCAGTCTAGAAATGTTCAGTGGGTACATAATACTTTAAAGGAAAGGTGGTTTAAAAAGTAGTAAGATAGAATAATTGAGAGGAAATGGCATTCATCTAGTTATCAGTATACATTTGGTATCTAGTTTTGACTCTGCTACTTGCTGGTCATTGAATATTAACAAGTTGCAGAAGCTTTCTCCACTGCAAGCTGTTCATCTGTAAATGAAGGACTTGAACTAGATGGTTGCTGAAGTCCTTTCCACTACTAATATTCCGTGATCCATTGTCTCCAACTTTGGAGAAAAGCCATCCATCTGAAGGAGTAAAAGAAATAAGCTAGACCATAAAAATGGGCTTCTTTAATAACTTGTTGAAGCACCAGCAAATGTATATACACATTAAATTGGTAGAAGGATATCTTATATTTATAGCTGCCTTTGCATCTCAGGCAGTATTTTATTTGAGTTCTATCAGATGATTAAGTAGTTCCATAGATATAAGTAGTAGCTTGTTTGGTTGCCTCTTTATTTTTGATACTCCCCATATAAAGTTCTCTGGCTTTGAAGAAGATCATTGATGTTAGTTTTAGTGCTTTACCTGGAATGAGAAGCAATCATTGGTAGCCAAACAAGTGCCTATATTATGGGAGAGAAAAAATAGGCCAATCCAGGTGTAAAGGTCAATCCAGAGATGCTACTGAAAGTAATCAAAGAATTCCAGTAGACATCAAATTAAATAAACAGCAAATGATTTAAAATTGAAACAATGTACTAGTGAAATCCTTCATCCACATACATTTTGGATTAGGTGTTAAGGGTTCTGTGTTTGGATGACTTTTTTTTTGCTACTGTATTTGAATTACAAATTTTATTCTGCAAATGCCACAGTTGCAAGTCCTGCAAATATTCTGAATATTTTAATGTATTAAATTTTAACATATGAAGCATTCTGGGAAACGTCATGACTTTCAATCATCTTATATTTTGTCCTTATTTGTTTTGTTTTGTTCATAGTTTAAATGCACTATCTGGAGATTACCTAGCTGGAAATGTTTTGGAAATGGCCTCAGAGTCCAATGACAATAGCCCAAGTGTTTTTTCAAACACCTTTCTGTCAAGGTCCTTTAATCACTCTCTTCTGTGATTACATTTGTCCTTCTGTATTTATTTCTATGTACATATTATGCAAAACTGGCTTTCTATAGCTGTTTTTTTCCATAATCATTCTTTAAAAATCCAGCTTAGAAATTATTTTAATTATTTGGATCCCTTTGTTTTCAGTATACACATAAAATGTGTTTCCGAATGATTATTTTCTAAAAACAGAAAGCAATGCATATTTTAATTCTATTCCTCTTTAATCACACTGTCCTGATGATCTGAAGAGGTGAATGCATTTATATTTAGTGTATATTCCATAACATCAGTATAATGGAATATGTGCTGCACAGATACACATGTGGCCTTTACGTCAGTATATATTATACCCTTTGGTGGTCAAAGACAACCTAATTGACCAAGATATTGTCATAAGGATAGAACTGTTAAGCATTAATGATATCCCAGCTGGTCAATATATTTTGGTGCCAAAAGCTATTGAGCAGCTGTCTGGTTTGCAATTGCCTAACCCTGATTGTGTAAACCTATCTCTGCCAATTGGACTACCCTTCTCTGCCTTACCCACTTGCAGACCCCTTTGATCTGTCCATGCAAACAGACTCTCAAGCCCTAAACAATTATCAGTTTTATTTAAACTCTGGTTTGCCCTTTCCTCACATGTGAATTCAAGATGAGATAGCTGATAGTGGTATCAGAGCTTACATTCACAGAGTAATACGTGAAACTCACAAAGCTGCCCACATTCAACCATCTTTACTTACAAAAAAGGCATTTCCAATGGCTCAATAGAACACATGGGAACATGAGAAAGCAAGAGGAAACACACAAATATTGAACATCTATTAAATGCCAGATACAGTGTTAGGTCTTTTATTTTTTTATTTAATTAAAATAATTAATTAATTAGTTAATTAATTTTAGAGAGAGGGGAAGGGAGGAAGAAAGAGTGGGAGAGAAACATCAATGTGAGAGAGATACATTGATCCGTTGCTTCTCATATGCACCCTGACCAAGGACCGAACCTGCAACCCAGGCACGTGCCCTGACTGGGAATCTAACCGGTGACCTTTTGCTCTGGGGGTTGATACCCAACCAATAGTGCTGGATTTTTCAAATAAATTATACAATTTATGCAATACAGATATATACATACATTACTCCCAAAACTTATGAGTTGGGCGAGTACCCTAGTTGAGAAGTGAGGAAAATAAGTTTTAAACTTTCCTAAGAAGCTCTGGCCTTGTGGCTCAGTTGGTTGGAGCCTCATTCCATATACCAAAAAGTTCGAAAATTCAGTTCCTGGTTGGGGTACGTACGTTGGTTGTGGGTTTGATGCCCAGTTGGCAATCAATTGATGTCTCTGTCTCTGTCTCTTTTTCCCTCCCTCTCTCCCCTCCCCTCTCTCTCTCTCTTCCTCTCTCTAAAATTAATGGATATCCTCAGGTGAAGGATATAAAAAAGTTTAAGTAACTTGCTTAAGGTCATTTGGAGTATCTTTCCTATTTGTGTCATGACTATAGGCCTCAAAGCTTATTTCCCGTTACCTCTGTCTGGCTCTCATACTTGAAGGATGTCGACGTCACCCCCTGAAAGGAAAGCGTGCTTGGGTCTGGTCCTCAGCCAAGCAAGCATTGTCGGGACCTGAGAGGTGATCCCTGCAGCCCCCTCATCAATCTCTGCCTCATTTTTCTCTCGATTAAAATAAGGCTGATAATGATCACTTCACAATAACTGGGATGGCCACGTGTAGCTGATTGCATCAGAAAGCTTTAGATCCTGTAAAATTACCAGGGGTTAATTCACTCTTCTCCATTCAGACTTTAGAAAAAAATGTTTGAAGATATTTAAAAGACGGGAAAATGCAAAGAATAACATATCACTCAAATTCTCACTGCCAGAATAGTTAATATTTTCTCATCTTGTGCTTCTTGTCTATTTTTTAAAAGAAAGAAACCATTTCACATGTAAGTAAAGTTCCCTTTAGCCACCATGCTGAGTCCCCATCCCCCAAACCCCTCACCCCTCACACCCTCACCCCGAAGACTCCTGTTTATAATTCCAATGTGTTTTTGCAAAGGTGCACACATGTCCATAAATAATATGCAGTATGATTTGTGTGTATATGTCCCTTTATCCAGCAGGTATCTACTTGTTCCCCAGCTGTGAGTAAGACACAGCTCCAGGGGCTGTGGATACAGCACGGAAACAAGCCAGACGAGATCCTGCTCCTCATTGGGGAGACAAGAAATCTTAAAACCAGTCAATTCATCAGTCAATCAACTGTAAAGGAAAAATATCAGATAGCTACAAATGCAATAAGTTTTTAAGTACATGCATGATGTTCTATTTGAATTTTCTGCAGTTATTTTTCTCCTCACACAAGATTTGGGCTTGTTCTTGTATGTTTTTGTGTTTTTTAATGTATTTTTTATCTCTATTCTAAATATTTGGCATTAAGTATCTCCTACAGAGAATGATTAAATTAGCTTCAAAATTTATTTTTTAACGTATGTAGTCTCTTTAACTTGTCAACTTAATTCTCAATTAAGAATTTCCTGTATCATTTGAATTTTCACAGAGAATTTCTTCGGTATAAGGCACTGTGCTGAGAACTCTGGGATAATCAAAGGTGAAAGGACGCATTCCCTACCACCCCAGAACTTACATTACAGTGGCAGAGATAATAGATGGGAATTGTAGATTATTAATGATAGCAATGATAGTAACAGCTACTAATTATTGAGCCCTTACTATGTGTTCAAGTGCTTTATATTCCTTATCTCATAGAAACAGACATTTTAAACCTATTTTTTTTTTGCCAAGGGGAGTGAGAGTAAGAGAGCTTCATTTATTCAGTTGCCAACTGTTTATGATTGTGGTGAGCCTGGTTGCTCTGCTGGACACAAAGAGTATAAATCAGTGAATATATGATTGCCTGAGTATAATTACTGATTTTAAGAATTTACAGTCCAAGAACACATAACTAAATATATTTGTTTCTGTAATGCTAGAATGATGATTCCCCCATCACACCCCAACCTGGCCTCAAACATCACTTTCCCAGTGAAGCTTTCCCTCACCCTGAGAAAAGGTCAGAGTCACCTATCATATGATTTCATGATGCGGTCGGTACGCCTTCACTTCACAGCACTCATCTCAGGTTATAATCATGCCTTTATTTGTATCATTATTAGTCAAATTGTAACCTCCATAAGAGCAGGAATTATACTGGGTTTCTTTCACCATTGTAACCAATGCTAGGAAAGTGTCCAGCACATTGTAGATATTCAAGAAATACTTTTTGTCTGCATAAAAGAAACAATATCAACAGATGTCATATGCTGAAGGTATACATGTTTTAGGCACTGTGCCAAGAACTTTATATAGATCATTTCATTTAACCCTCGTGAAATCCTATGAGGTAGGGAGTACTATGTTATTTTATAGAGGAGGATGCTGAGGGTCATATAAATTAAATAACCTACCTGAAGTACAACTGCTAGGAAGTAGCAGAAACTGAGTAACTCCAAAATGCCATATCTTTACTACTATGCTGCAGGGCTTCAAGATAGAAAAATAAAAATATATAAAAACAAATATGCTTACCACATTTTTCAGATCACAAGACACACCTGGGTTTTAGAGGAAAATAGGAAAAAAATTTTGAAGTAAAAAATGTGGTAAAATATGTAATAACATAAATAACATATTTCACCAGTGTAGATGTAAACAGAGCTCAACAGCAGCATTAACAACCATTACTCCTCCCAAATTGGGGTGTGGGGTGTGCGTCTTATAGTCCGAAAAAATTTATGGTATATACACATATACATGCATATCACA